ATGAAGAAAAACAGCTACCAAATTATCCATTTATGTCACCAATTAGTAAGATGTGTCTGGGTTTTTCAAATGTTAAAATGTGGTGTGGGGGGCGGGAAACATGTTAGAATTTGTGAAATGCAGTCATTACTTTTTTTAATTACAAGATATTTCATTTTTGGAAAACAAAGTACTTAATTGACTTTTCCTCTCACCCTCCTTGCTCAGAAAGATTTCCTCAAAAAAGCCAAGGGAGATGCATTTCAGGATGACTTCATTATTTTTTTTAGCATTTAGGTGTCAGTTTTACCCCAGGCCCTGGGTGAGGGGTTTTCCTCAGCCCTGGGAACTAGTGGGAACAGTGGTAATTTTCCAAATAAGGGAGCTCAGATAAGGGTCAGATTCTTGTTCCTGATCACATAGTGAGTAAACCATGGGCATGACCTTCAAACCCAGTCTGTTGCCCGCTCGCATGTCACCACCTGTCCCAGCCCTGAAGGTGTCCTGAGAGAGAAGACGGGCCTTGGAAATAAGCCCTGGGATGAAGGCAGAGCGTCCCTCTCCCAAACTCAACCGGGTGCACCCTGGCGGTTTCTGATTCAGGGGAGCTGACCTCCTCCATACACGCTCCTCGCTGCCAATCTCAGTGAGTCAGCCTCCACGAGACCTCACTGTCCTCTGGGCTGTCTGGCTGTCTGCTTCATGTCATGCAGCCGTGGCCCAGGGTTACGAGTGTTTTTTCTCTGCCCCGCTCCTCAGATTAGAGCCAGGATTGGAAAGGTCCACCTCTCCCCCCAGCCCTCCCGCCGCTCGGCTTTCTGTTTCCAGGCTGCCCCTGCCCTCCAGCTGCTAAAAGAGACCAAGATTGAGAGGGTTATTTCCCCGCTGCCACCATCTAGGTGAGTGCCCTCCATGGGGGGCTCAGCATGGACTGTGCCTGGGACAGAGCGACAGGCTTTGGGGTGCATGTAGATTAGCAGACTGTGAACAAAATGAACTGCATAGCTCTGGGTCTATGCCATGGCAAAGTGTAATTTTCCAAAAAAGAGGTTTGCATACAACCAGGTAGTGATCACATGTCAAAGATTTATTTAACTCGTTAATGAGGGAACGGGCAAAATGCCAGGGCTGCTTGGAAAGTTTTGAGAAAGTGACTATTCCTTTGCTGGGGCCACCATAACAAATTACCAGGAGCTGGGTGGTTTAAATAGACATTTATTCTCTCACAGCTCATGAGGCCAAAAGTCCAAAATCAAGGTGTTGGCAGGGTTGGTTTTTTCTGGAGGCTTTGAGAGGGATCTGTTTCCTGCCTCCCTCCCAGTTGCTGGTACTTGCTGGCAGTACTTGGGCTTCCTTGGCTTGTAGACATGTCAGTCCAATCTCTGCCTCTGTAAACACATGGCCTCTTCCTCGTAGTGCATGTATCTGTAGTTTCCAGACCTCCCTCTCCTTATAAGGATGCAGGTCATTGGATTTAGAGCCATCCCTAATCCAGCATGACCTCACTGTAACTTGAGTCCATCTGCAGAGAACCTACTTCCAAATAAGGTGACATTCATAGGTACTGGTGTTTAGCATTTGACCATCTCCTTCTGGGGTACACAGTTCAGCTTTTAACAGCACTTACCTAACTCATTTCCCAGGACTCACCATCACAGACCCCTGGCTTCTTGGGACAGTTTGAAGTGCTGGAAAGAGCAGAAGCCTTGGTAGCTTTGGTGTCAGCTACCAAAGGTCTCAAGTAGACCTGAGACCTTGATTGGTCTCGGGCATTCTAGGATTCCATGTAGGCCTATTAACAAGCCTCCAAGGAGAACAAGGCAGCTTCATGGCTGAAGTCTGTACTGCACTGGGTAGAAAAATGGGGCTATCTGCAGACTTCAGCTCCACTCCTCACTGTGTGTGGCTCTGAACAATCTTCATCTCTCTGGGCCTCAGTTTTCTCATCTGTGAAATGATGCTCAGTTTTCTCATCTGCTCCATAAGGTAGTGCTTAAAATAGAACATATGATGTTATGACAAATAAATGTTCACTGTTATTAGTCTAGTAGCTCCCACTCACAGACTCACAACTTTGCTCCTTTGTAGCGTGAGAAAGGCTGTCCTACTAAACACATTGGAAAGTTCCCCTTCCTTCCTAGGCCTGTCATTGAAGAAAAAAGAGAAATTTATAAGTCTGCCTCCAATCTCCAGCATACACAGCAAGTTCCTGATTAGGATGAAGGAGGCCGCCTGACTTTCACCTGCTTGGGTGATGTGTAGACAGATGCCAGCCCAGCCCCCAGCCCTGCTTCCAGATTTGCCCTGCCTTTGTGACCAGGCTCTTCTCTGGCTGGTTGCTCTGGGTCTGATGTGGAAGCTGATTTCCCCCGGTCACTTAGCTGGTGCAGCTGGCAGTTTCCTGTTCAGACACTAGTGAACCCCGGTGAGTTAGAAAGAGGGTTTGGCGCCCAGTAACAAAGGTTGGAAACTAGAACCTCTCCAGCCAGAACTAGAACTGTCTGGCTGAGCCTGAAAGAGCAAATTAGAGGCCTTGGCCTTTGCGATCCAAGTTGGGTGGGGAAGACCTCTTTGCACATAGTGAGCACCTCACCCACTGGTCCTTTGGAAGAGAGCAGGTCCTGCCCTCTGCATCCAGATCCATCCTCCCTCGTCCTGTGGCCAGCACCCATGGCTGCTGCGACTTTGATTATTGTCTGCGACATAAAAGCACCAGCTGGTATAGTGCAAAGTTCCCTCCCACCTGGGCCCCTCTGACCCTAAGTTCATCTGGGAGTTCTTTGAGAACATACCTTTCTGCCCTCAAAGTGTCCCCCTTTTCAGCCCTGGGATAGAGCAGGATTGTTCCTGGGCTTTCAAATTTTCTTTTAAGAGAGTGGGGATTTCTAGAAAAGGGAACATTATAGAGACAGAAAACAGACCAGTGATTGCCTGGGGCTGGGAGTGGAATTGACTGCAGATGAGCAAACTGGGTAATGGAAGTGTTTGAAGACTGGCTTGCACTGGGGAATGAAGCACTGTGTAATTCACTCATCAAACAATGTTCTTCCTGTGGGCAAATTGTACATGATATAATGTAAGTCTAAGATAAAGGTGTTTAAATGTGTGTGTGTGTGTGTGTGTGTATGTGAATGTGTGAAAGTCACTGAGTCATCACTCAATCCGACTCTTTGCGACCCCATGGACTATGCAGTCTATGGAATTCTCCAGGCCAGAATACTGGAGTGGGCAGCCTTTCTCTTCTCCAGTGCATCTTCCCAAACCAGGGATCGAATACAGGTCTCCTTCATTGTAGGCGGACTCTTTACCAGCTGAGCCACAAGGGAAGTCCATATATGTAAGCTCATATATATAAAATAGATTCTTTTAACATTAAAACAATTTTTTTTTTGGCTGCATCAGTTATTTCTTCATTTAGTTATTTCTTCAGAGGGAATGGAGATCATAATTTTCTGAGTAAGCGGGTGGAGGTTTGAGGAAAGGCTTCCTGGAGGAGGTAGCATTTGAGCTGTCCTGATATTCTGACAAGGATGATGGAGGCAGAGAAAAAGGCAGGTGACTACCTCGTGGGCTTCTCTCTAGTTGCAGTGCTTAGTTGCCCAGCCAGGGATCGAACCCACAACCCCTGCACTTGAAGGCGGATTCTTAAACATTGGACCACCAGGGAAGTCCCTCTCATGAATTCTTTTAAAACCAAAATTGGTGAGGGATTGCCATCTTCTAGGAACTTATAGGATATCCACAGTCAATAGATATGCATTTGATTAAAAAAAAAAAAAGAGTGGAGGAGAAGTAGAATTGGAAGTCTTGGTCTTAATGAAGTGACCAAGGGTAGGTCCACACTCTGTGACATCCTGAGATGATGTTCTTAGGTGGTGAGGGGTGCTGGGGTGAGGGAGTCTCTGCTGGGATTCCCTTGCCCGGCTCTCAGTGGTACGAACTCTCCAATCATACCAGGCACCACTGTGAGCTTTGCCTTTGCCACAGAGCACCTCTGTCTTCCTGTCTTTGTGCAGAGAATTTCCTCCCTCCAGCCCCGAGGAGCAAACATGCAGCCAGGAACAACTGGAAAATCCGGATTGGTCTGGCCTCGTTTTCCCCTAAACCTGGCCCTTCCCCTTGACTTGGACTAGAGAAGCAATCCAGAGAAACCCCCCACGCAGATGGAATGGCTTAAGCACCAACTGGACATTTATATACTTTGTAGGCTTTTCTTTCTCCTGGCAGTCCTGATAAGTGGCCTCACAGGAGATCAGAGATAGACACTTGTCTAAGGTCACACCGGTGTTAAGTGCTGAGCTTCCTCCTCTTTGCACTAGAAACCACCTCCTGGAAGGAGTCCAGGCTGCTTGTTCAGGTGGAAGGTGATTTGACTTGTTTGGTAATCAATCGCCTGTCCCCTTCTCTGCCTCCATTATTTTTGTCAGAATACCAGGACAGCTCAAATGCCACCTCCTCCAGGAAGTCTTCCCTCAAACCTCCACCCACTCACCCAGAAAATTATGATATCCACTCCCTCTGGGTGCCGGCAGCAAACACCCCGAAACACAACAAGTTTCTTTCCAGAAACCGAATAGCTCCATCTGGAGCCTGATAGGAATGAGGCTTTGGAAATCAGAAGGAAACGTGGTCTCTCCCCCAAGGGCAGTAGGGAGCTACAGCAGGATTCTCAGCTGGGGTGGTTCAAGCAGATGTGGTTTTAAAGAGGGTTGTTCTAATGTTGGGTGGAGAATAGATGGATCAGACTGGGGCCACGGGGAGGTGAGGGGACCACTGAGGAGGCTGCAGCTGAGTCCTGCCCCGGGAGTGATTCAGCAGGAGGGCAGGGCCCAGCCCTTCCCTTCACCTTTTTCCTCCTTCTTCACCCTGTTCCTGTCCCATGTCCCACTCCCTGGGCTCCAGAGCTTATCTGATGAGCTCCGGGGAGCACTCCATGGCTGCCTGGCTGCTCCTACCAGACTTCTTATCTGGCTCCTTCTGGAAAGAACGCAGAGGAGTGAAGGGCAGACCCTCAGGGCAGCATGACTGTGGAGGAGAAGCGGAAGCACATGGGCTCTGAACTCCCAGGTTGGGCTGGAAACGGGCCGCAGGCCAAGGGAGAGGCATGAAACAGCTACTCCTGGCTGACTCAGGCCCTCCTGGCCTTCTTATCAGGCCCGAGGAGCGATAAGGGTCCAGTTACTGGACCGCCGGTTCTAGGCCTTTGTTTGGAGCAGACAGGAAGTGACTTGTGGGGTTTGCCGTGCCTTAAGGAGCAGGGCTGACTCACAGGGGTGGGGGTCTGGGTGTGTCTGGTCCACAGGGTGGGGAGTGGGGTGTAAACGCCAGGCCCTGCACCACCAACCACCAAAGGCCAGGGGAGAGAGGTCCTGGGTGGGAGAGAGTGCAGCCGCCACACCACCTCCTGACAGCTGGCCACAGGCAGGAGTCCTTGCCCTGCTGGCTTAGGATGGGAGGGGTGGCGCAGGCGTCTCCCTTCCTTTTCAAACAGAAAGTATTTCCAGAACATTATTCTGTTGACTATCTGCTAAGTGCCAGACACTAAGGGCTCTGCTCGCACCCATTTCCCTTCATCTCTACTCCAGTAACAACCCTGGGGCATCAGTGTTACCATTCTCCATGTTTTGCAGGTGAGGAAACTGAGGCTCAGAGAGAGGAAGTGAATTGCTCAGATTGATGCATCCAGGAAGCAGTAGATTCCAGATTCAAGCTCAGCCCCAAATTCACGGACAACTAACTCTTGAAAAACCAAAATAGGCAGGAGCAGGGGATGGGCATCAGTTTTGTGAACCCCTAGGAGCCATCCAGTTCTCAGGGAGCCACAGGAGACCGCTGCCCCAGGGGAGCCCTCCTAGTGAGGTAGGCAGGGTTCTTTTCCAGCCCAGTCCCCTCAATTGTATGATGTGGTGACAGACTGGCTCAGGTGTTTTCCACAAGCTAAAAGGGAGGTGATCAACCCCCAGTCATAAATGAGCAGTTGGATGACTCTGCAGTGGGCGGGCTCCTCTTTTCAGGCTCTTAGAAGGTTGGGGGGCGGGGGGAGCGGGCGCGGCGGGGTGCTTGGAGATGAGATAAAAGAACAGGAAATTCCCAACCCAGTGGGAGAGACAAGGCCCTATTAGTCAAGACAGAAAAGCAATTTCCAAAAAAGGGAAGGTTGTGGTCTATGTCACTGAACCATCTATTTGCTGACAGGCCTCTGCCCCCTCAGCATTTCTCAGTCAGGTCTGACACTGATCTCTGCTCCCCTGCAGAATGCCCCAGGCTCCTGTTCTCCAGCTCACTGGCCCTGGGGGAAGGAGAGTCTCTGGCCCACAAGTCCCAGGGCAAATTCTGATTGGTTGATCTGGAGTCACATGCCTCAAGGGGTTTTTTAATTGGTCAAGCCTGAGAAATCTGTATGTAGGTTAAGAAGCAACAGTTAGAACTGGACATGGAACAACAGACTAGTTCCATATCAGGAAAGGAGTAAGTCAAGGCTGTATATTGTCACCCTGCTTATTTAACTTATATGCAGAGAAATGAGAAATGCTGGGCTGGATGAAGCACAAGCTGGAATCAAGATTGCTGGGAGAAATATCAGTAACCTCAGATATGCAGATGACACCACCCTTCTGGCAGAAAGCAAAGAAGGACTAAAGAGTCTCTTGATGAAAGTGAAAGAGGAGAGTGAAAAAGTTGGCTTGAAACTCAACATTTAGAAAACTAAGATCATGGCATCCAGTCCCATCACTGCATGGCAAATAGATGGGGAAACAATGGAAACAGTGACAGACTTTATATTTTGGGGCTCCAAAATCACTGCAGATGGTGACCGCAGCCACGAAATTAAAAGATGCTTGTTCCTTGGAAGAAAAGCTATGACCAATCTGGACAGCATATTAAAAAGCAGAGACATTACTTTACCAGTTAAGGTCTGTCTAGTCAAAGCTATGGTTTTTCCAGTAGTCATGTGTGGATGTGAGAGTTGGACTATAAAGAAAGCTGAGCGCCGAAGAATTGATGCTTTTGAACTGTGGTGTTGGAGAAGACTCTTGAGAGTCCCTTAGACTGCAAGGAGATCAAACCAGTCAATCCTAAAGGAAATCAATCCTGGATATTCTTTGGAAGGACTGATGCTGAAGCTGAAACTCCAACACTTTGGCCACCTGATGAGAAGAACCGACTCATTTGAAAAGACCCTGATCCTGGGAAAGATTGAAAGCGGACGGAGAAGGGAATGACAGAAGATGAGATGGACATGAGTTTGAGTAGGCTCCGGGAGTTGGTGATGGGTAGGGAAGCCTGGCATGCTGCAGTCCATGGGATCACAAAGAGTCAAACATGACTGAGCAACTGAACTGAACTGAAGCTTTGTCTCATATGCTCATCCTTGCCTGGGATCTTCTGGTGCAGAAACAGCAGCAGAACCACACAGGATGGGTGGAAGGTGGAAGGGGAACAGATGGAGGCAGGCAAAAGCCACAGGACCCCAGGAGCTCACTCCCCACCCATCCACCCTTTCCACACCAGGGTTCTGCTGGACCATGCCTCTAGATGCTAGAGAGTTATCACCAGGGAAGGGCCATTCTTCATCTTTATTTGTTATTATTGTTCAGTTACTAAGTCTTGTCTGACTCTTTGCAACCCCATGGACTACAGCAAGCCAGGCTTCCCTGTCCTTCACTATCATCTGGAGTTTGCTCAAATTCATGTTCATTGAGTTGGTGATGCCATCCAGCCATCTCATCCTCCCCTTCTCCTTCTGTCTTCAATCTTTCCAGCATCAGGGTCTTTTCCAATTACTTGGCTCTTTGTATCAGGTGGCCAAAGTATTGGAGCTTCAGCATTAGTCCTTCCAGTGAATAGTCAGAGTTGATTTCCTTTAGGATGGATTGGTTTGATCTCCTTGCTGTCCAAGGGTCAAGAATCTTCCCCAGGATCACAGTTTGAAAGCATCCATTCTTCAGCGCTCAACCTTCTTTACGGTCAACCCTCACATCTGTACATGACTCCTGGAAAAACCATAACTTTGACTATATGGACTTCCGTTGGCAAAGTGATGTCTCTGCTTTTTAATACACTGTCTAGGTTTGCCATAGCTTTCATTCAAAGGAGCAAGTATCTTCTAATTCCATGGCTGCAGTCACTGTCTGCAGTGATTTTGGAGCCTAAGAACTTAAAGTCTGTCACTGTTTCCATTGTTTCCCCATCTCTTTGCCATGAAGTGATGGGACCAGATGCCATGATCTTAATTTTTTGAATGTTGAGTTTTAAGCCAGCTGTTTTCACTCTCCTCTTTCACCCTCATCACCCTTATCTTTAGTTCCTCTTCACTTTCTGCCATTAAGAGTGTTTAGTCTGATTTTCAGCCTCAACACTATTGACATTTAAGGCCAGATAACTCTTTGTTGCTGGGGTCTGTTCTGGGCACTGTAGGATGTTTAACAGCATGCTTCCCCTCTACCACCTGGACAGTGAAAACTGTCTCCTGACCATGCCAAGTGTCCCTAGGGACAAAATTGCCTCTCGCTGAGAACTATTGGTTTAAATGATCCCAGAGGGAGGTCTTGAGGCAAGGATCTAGGGAAGCAGGGAAGTGGATGGGGAGAAGATATTGGTGCCGGGTGTGTGAAGGTTGATGAGCAGGTTGTCACCGTGGGGCTTGGTCCTGAACCTGAGTCCCTCTAAAACAGAGTTCTGCTGAGTTTATGATTAACCTCTCTATGCAGAACTTCATTCTCTTTTTTTGTCCTGCGCCCTTTCCCCTGAGAATTGAAACATGTCAAAGAAAAGGAGGAACTGAAACCATGTGAGGGAATATAGAAACAAAGGAAAAACAACTGAGAAAAGCAATGCTAGCTTGAATAATAGTTCAGTGATAAAACAGAATCCTAGTCTCTCCTCAAGGGATATACCTAGCAATCTGATCATATCTGAACTGCTCTGCAGAAACTTAAGTCCCCCACCCACCCACCCACCCACACAGATAGAGGATGGTGATCACATGCTGAGTACAAGCACTAGACCCCAGATTGATTGGAACCAGAAGGTTGATGACTGAGAGTCCTGAAACATCACCTTGTTCCCTCACCACCAAACAATCAGAAGAAAGTCCATGAGCTGACCACACACCCTGCAGCCCTCACCGCTAGTGTTGCCTCTGAAAGTCCTTCCCTGAAAATCATCAGGCAGTTTGGCTCTCTTGAGCGTGAGCTGCCCATTCTCCTTGCTTGGCCGTGCAACAGACACTGCACTCCTCCTTTACCACAGCCTGTATCAGTAGACCGGCTTTGCTGCAGGCCTGAGTTTGCCTTGGTTACAGCCCCACAGGAGAACTGGGGAATGGTATGGGATAGGCAGAGTCGGGAGCCAGGGAGCTGCAGTATTTGGGCGCCATCTCCCATCAGACCCCTTGAGGACCCTGGGAGGTTCCAGGGCACATGAGACCTGCTGTGTGGCACAGGGTGGCCCCTAGCAATGCGGAGAAAGCAGGTGCTGGCAGCTGAGGGCTGGGCCAGTGGTGAGGGACAAGTGGATATGAGAACACAGTCAGGAACCCCGAACAGGGCTTCCTGTTGTTTCTTCCTTCCCCTGATATAACCACGCCAGGATCTGCTTCTCAGCAGGGTCTACGGGCTTCCTTAGTCCCAGGTTCCCATGTTTAGCACCGTCTTTCCTACCACTACAGGCCCATCAGTCCTGCTGTGTCCAAGGTGTGTGACTTCAGGCAGATTTCTTACCCTTTCTGGGCTTAAATTTCTCCTATATAAAATGGGGCTAATGAGCTAATGATAACCTGATACATGCTTTCAGGGTTATGAGGCTGAAAAGAAAGAGTGTGTAGGTGCACAACTAGCTTCACTGTCCACCTGCCCATTAGGAATCTGGGGGCAAGCTTTCCCACAAGGTACTGAAAGCAGGGCTGGCAAGCCTGCCTCTGCTCAAGGCAGGGGAGCCATTTGGAGGACGGCTGAGTCAGCAGACATGCTAGACAGGGAGTCAGGAGCCCTGAGTCATGACGGCACCCGAGGCAGTCTGAGCATTTGTCATCCGCACCCACTGATTCCTCATCAGAGGCCAGGGAA